GACACAGGAGGTAACCATCAATTACTGTCATCGAAACAAAATATGTATTTCTTTTTATTTCTTTTTTAAATAATCGTTATCAAGAAATACACAAAAAGTTCTTCACAGGATAGACTGAAATGGTCAGAACGAACTTCAAAGCCCAGCCAGTTAAATCGGCAGCAAGAATAATCCATTACTTTCGATGTGAAATTGCAAGGCTATATGAAGACCTACCCCTTTATATATACAGATATATAGAAAAGCAGACAGACAGACAATTAGGAAGAAAGACAAAGAGATACAAACACACAACCATGAAAATAAAAATAAATCTCGAAAATATCTTAAATAAACCAGGATAGGGACAAAAAGAAAATACAAACGTCTTTAATTCTGTGCAACCAGTGTCGCATTTAATACATGCTTTTTCAGGCACAAAATGTTGTGAAATAAACGGATGACGTCTTTATATTATAAAATATAAATTACGACATTACGTAACGAAACAAATGGTATGATCCTCAGGTTTCCTCTAATATTTCATCAAGTTTTAATCACTCTCCACTCGAATTTTCTTTCATGCCAATAGATATTGCGCCTGGAGACATGAATAGACTCATAAAAGAAACTTATTTGATTAAAAAATTAGATACTTTGTATCCCATTGGCCTTAATACCAGTATACTATATACAATGGTATATTGTTTTAAATTGATAAATTGTACATCCTTGATAACGATATAATTATATGCATGACTGTTTGTCTCTAGTTAATTTTATTATTATATGCTCATCTTTTCTCTCCTTTAACCTTACATTGTTAAAATCGTGCAATATCACCGATATTGCACACCTTTAAACAGTATCCCACGTGCAAAGAAACTATTTTCTAACGTAAACATTTTTTATGAATGAATTAAAGATTATATTTCATAGACGGCCACATTCCAGGAAATGTTTCATAGACTGACACATCCAAATTGCTTTGGCACATTCCGCGTTTACTCTTTTGATAAAATGTTACAGATTTAACTAAATATATAAAATGCAAGTTATACATATAAACTGTATTCTTTAGCTGTTAATAAAAATGGCAGAAAATATACTTATAATTTTACATCCTGAATTTCCTCAAAAAATATATTTTCGTAGGTCTGTTAATCTTAATTAGATGAGCCATATCATGGATTCTCAATGTTGATTACACATTTTGAAATTTGTACTTTAATTTCGAGAATATTCCAAGTGTAGTTGCATCCTCCTTACTCTACCCAAAATGAAATAAACATTAAATTCTTCAGCATCTTTTCGATAATTGTAATGTAAAGGCTTCATAATCTTCACACATTATGTTCTGAATCATTCCATGACAGAAAAGAAATACGCATGCCGATGTCAACACAATTCAAACTTTAAACTGGCAGACCCTGCTGGAATGCGATGCAAGTGTGTCATGTAGATAAATCCGGACCAAAATCGCAAGATTGTGTTGAATCGACAAAAATACTAAAAGGTGTTCATTCCAGATAACATGAAAAAGTTGTTACAATGCGTATTCATCAACAATATTCCAAATTTCAATGTTAAGTAGAGCGAGCGACATTTTATTTGGAAACTTATATCTAGTGCGCGACCAACTTAAATTTATTTGGGCGGAGTTATGCGCTCATTAATAATGTTGGGCAATGATCCCTCAATGCTTAAGTATTTAGGTCGGAATACGTCATACAATTAGCTACTTTGTTTCTTTCAGTGCATTTTGTTTATATATATATATATATATATATATATATATATATATATATATATATATATATATATATATATATATATATATATATATATATATATATATATTTAAGCCTTGGGAAGAATAAGAATTTAGAAATTAGCCAAGAATTTCAAATGATGTATCCAGTGTCGTTCCTTACGTTTGCGTTTTGTGTCTCTACACTCTAGGTCAGATTCAATCGGCAATTTTCGAGTGACTCTCTAAATATCCATTCGAATAGTAGGGGTCGGCGACCTTGGCAATGATTTTGTGCCTATGTGGGATTTGTGACTATTCATTCGCTTTCGGAAATCAAAGGTTTCGAAAAGATATCGAATGGCGGAGATCTTGCATGTCAGAAGATATATTGTATTATTGGCGGGACAGTCCAACCTCTAACTGATGGTGAAATTAACTCCTATTGTCGAACTTCTAAAGATATGGAATCACGAATGTCTATATATTAGGCAACGGTTGACTTTGCAATGGCATGTACCTGAATATGTGGCTTTGTTTGACGATATTGTGACACGTATTAGGTGGTCTTTCAGACTTTTAGGTAAGGTAAGTATCCTCAGGAACTTCTGGAAATAAACAATATATATATATATATATATATATATATATATATATATATATATATATATATATATATATATATATATATATATATATATATATATATATATATATATATCTTGTCATTCCAATAGCCTTGTACGACAACCTGTTTTTCTTCGATATCTTAACCACCAATTCTTGTAGCTGTTGATATAATTCTTTCACATCTGCGTCATCACAGTCTGATGCTGGGTCGTATGCCTGTATAATGATGATGCTGAATGGAGTTACCCTGAGGCGGATGGGGATGAGATGGCTGGAGACTGGCGGACAGGCCATGACAGTACTCACGCTGTTCTTGTGGGCAAGGAACCCGACTCCCTGATCATGTTTGTCCTCTCTACCAATAAAATACGGTTTGTGGCCTTCCAAAGTAGTTGCTTTTCCAATATCCTTCCATCGTACCTCACGTAGTCATAGGATGTTCCAGCGGTATATGTTCATTTCATATGTAAACTCCTCTAGCTTTCATGCTGCTCTCAGCGTTCTCAAATTCCAGGTGACAATGGTGATATTGTTACTGACGCGAATCATGCAGATCTGTTGATGAATACGGCATCATAAGGGATTATAAAAAGACAAAGACAAAACATTGCTAATTGTTGCAATGTAAGATTATAATGCACTAATGTTTTGAAGAGGCCAGCATGCTTTGCGGGAACTTCATACACATATAATCTCTCTCTCTCTCTCTCTCTCTCTCTCTCTCTCTCTCTCTCTCTCTCTCTCTCTCTCTCTCTCTCTTAAAATTCTTATATTGTGTCTTTCATATGTCAGTTCGAAGATCCACTTTTCTTTTGTGATTTATTTCTCTATCTTTACGTTTGCAATTTTTAAGATACGCCCATGGTCACAGCCAGTCATTTACGTCGTTTATTTATAAACCCAACTAACTGCACAACTCATACAAAAGCCTCGAAAGATATGTACGTTCTAAAAGAAACAAACTCTTACGACAATATCAGTTTCCGTGAACAATAATCATCACAATAAAGCTATGATACAAAGATGAAATAAAGAGAATTCAAATATTGAACGCAAATAATTAAAATATGTGGTGGTAAAAATGCAACATCAAAATCGACGTTAATAATCTGATTTAGGTTTTTCATCTTGCCAATAAAACTAATGGGTTGTTGTTACTAAACACAATAATCGGAGAAGGAGATGAACCAATAATATAGACTTCAAAGTATTGCAATGCCAGTATAAAAGTCAAACATTTCTTCTTGATTGTGGAGTAATTTCTCTGATTCTTATTTAATTTTTTTAGCAGATTGATCAAACTGGATAATCAACACCATTTTATTCTACTTGAATGCAAACTACACCAACTCCAACAACACTTACATCAATAGATAGTTTCAATGATTGAAAGAGGTTTGGAGCTGAAAGAACTGGTTCACTTTTAACCATGGCCATTAACATATAAAATTCCGTGTGACATTTTTCAAACGAATGAAACTAGGTTTCTTTGATAAATATTTCAGGGGTTCAGCTAGTATGTTGCAAGTGGCAAAACTCACATTCAGATAAATTAATTGTCAAATTAGCATCGATGTTTTTGTCAAAGATTATCAGAATTGTCGCTCTATAAACTTCCTATTTATCTTTATAAATGATGACATCATCTATGTAAGCATCTCAATTGTCTACACCAAATAGAATAGTGTTCAATAAAGGGTACAAAGTACTAGACAAATTTTTCATCTCAAACAGCTTCACTTTATAATGATAGAAAGTCCATCTGGAGTCACGAATGCAGAAATTATCTTTGCTCTATCCATCAGTGCAATTTTCCATATTTGCACTTTCAATTTTATCAATGCAGTCATCGAAGTGTTAGCTGAAATTAATCAGTTTTAGTTAATTAGTTCACCTGCTCAATGCACATGCGGAAAGTATTTTCTGGTTTCGGAACAAGTATACATGGTGAACTACGTCACTTTTACTCGGTTCTTTAAAGCCATTCTCCAGTAAATACGGAAGTCTATTTGTTCAAACATTCCATTTTTGAGAGGGTTTACCCTGTACGGGACTTGTTTCACATGTTTGGAATTTACAATTTCAACATCATGATAGATCGCATATGTTCTTGTAGGCACATCTATAAACAAGTGCTTATATTCAGGTGATAACTGTTTTATTCAATCTTATCATGTGTGTGTATGTGCGTGTGTGTGCGTGCATGTATGTATGTTTGAACGTAGGCCAGTAGGTATTTATAGTACCTCGAAAGCGATTTCCTTCTTTATTTCCTTTCCGGTATCATTTTTTCAGAATATAAACGATCAACAGAGCCCGATATTCATTTACAAGGTCAAAAATCTTGCCTTTCTCGTGACACAAAGTTTAATGCAAAGATAAATTGCTTGAGATTTAGTGTTTATGTGTGTTTATGATTTTAACGTAGCTTTTAACAATTTTCCAGTCATATCACTACGATGTCTGCAGTGTAGCAGTTTATAGTGATGTCTAGCACTGAGGCATCACGCCGCAGACATGTAGCATGATGTCCCAACCAGTCACTTTATCCTGACACCAGGCCGACCAGTCCTAACACTAACCTATTAATGCCGAGCGTCAAGCGAGGAAACTGTTAGTACCATTTTTTTAAGTCTTTGGTATGACTCGACCGGGGATCGAACCCACGACCTCCCGCATCCGAGGCGGACGCTCTAACCACTAGATTTAGTAATTGTAAATTTAGTTCAATCCTTTTCATCATTGACACATGCGTTGCTTACATTTATACATAATACTGAGCAAAGTCTCAGCGCAGAGAGAAACGGTCAATATAATGATATGAACAGCAAAGATATTCCAAATATTATAGACATAATTGAGTACTCGCAAATCAGTGCTGAAAATAATGGCTATATCTTTGAGTAAGCCACTGAAAATGTTTCCCGAATTTTAATTATGAAAGAATATTGGCACCGTAAATAATCATATTGCTCATAGAATAAGTGAATGAAATTTTCAACGCTAACAAAGGTATTTATTTTTTATACCTAAACTTTCGATTATACGTACAAATGTCAATCACTCATGCCTGAGATTATAATAAATAATGACGAAGTTATTGACGTTAAAAGCTACATATTCGTGCATTATTTATATGCAATCGTAGAAATTCTATAATACCTAACATATCTACGTGGAAAAATGTTGTCATTAAGAACTAAAACGATATATATATATATATATATATATATATATATATATATATATATATATATATATATATATATATATATATATATATATATATAGTTTAATACAAACAATACTATCATACAGGTTAGAGAAATTAAATTCGTACTCTACCGAGTTTCGAACCTAGATCCGCGAGTAAATGGCACCCATCGCCTTGCCTGCACGCACCAACCCATATACCGTCACGACTAAGCACGCATCACCAAAAAATGATGGCACTGAATCGGTGTTATATAAGCTCGTGCGTAGCAGACACACTCGCATGACGACCTAGTAATTAATTCTCATAAATATACACAGTCGTTCCAGATTCCTATGAAAGAAATCAAGGTATATAGGAATGTTGTATATAAATAATTATAAATATATACCAGACAGAACAGACTGTGCTATCCCTGGATTCTGTAGTAGAATCTTGATAATAGTGGGCAGAAATAATAGTTTAATACAAACAATACTATCATACAGGTTAGAGAAATTAAATTCGTACTCTACCGAGTTTCGAACCTAGATCCGCGAGTAAATGGCACCCATCGCCTTGCCTGCACGCACCAACCCATATACCGTCACGACTAAGCACGCATCACCAAAAAATGATGGCACTGAATCGGTGTTATATAAGCTCGTGCGTAGCAGACACACTCGCATGACGACCTAGTAATTAATTCTCATAAATATACACAGTCGTTCCAGATTCCTATGAAAGAAATCAAGGTATATAGGAATTTTGTATTACAAATAATTATAAATATATACCAGACAGAACAAACTGTGCTATCCCTGGATTCTGTAGTAGAATCTTGATAATAGTGGGCAGAAATAATAGTTTAATACAAACAATACTATCATACAGGTTAGAGAAATTAAATTCGTACTCTACCGAGTTTCGAACCTAGATCCGCGAGTAAATGGCACCCATCGCCTTGCCTGCACGCACCAACCCATATACCGTCACGACTAAGCACGCATCACCAAAAATGATGGCACTGAATCGGTGTTATATAAGCTCGTGCGTAGCAGACACACTCGCATGACGACCTAGTAATTAATTCTCATTAATATACACAGTCGTTCCAGATTCCTATGAAAGAAATCAAGGTATATAGGAATTTTGTATATAAATAATTATAAATATATACCAGACAGAACAGACTGTGCTATCCCTGGATTCTGTAGTAGAATCTTGATAATAGTGGGCAGAAATAATAGTTTAATACATACAATACTATCATACAGGTTAGAGAAATTAAATTCGTACTCTACCGAGTTTCGAACCTAGATCCGCGAGTAAATGGCACCCATCGCCTTGCCTGCACGCACCAACCCATATACCGTCACGACTAAGCACGCATCACCAAAAAATGATGGCACTGAATCGGTGTTATATAAGCTCGTGCGTAGCAGACACACTCGCATGACGACCTAGTAATTAATTCTCATAAATATACACAGTCGTTCCAGATTCCTATGAAAGAAATCAAGGTATATAGGAATTTTGTATATAAATAATTATAAATATATACCAGACAGAACAGACTGTGCTATCCCTGGATTCTGTAGTAGAATCTTGATAATAGTGGGCAGAAATAATAGTTAAATACAAACAATACTATCATACAGGTTAGAGAAATTAAATTCGTACTCTACCGAGTTTCGAACCTAGATCCGCGAGTAAATGGCACCCATCGCCTTGCCTGCACGCACCAACCCATATACCGTCACGACTAAGCACGCATCACCAAAAAATGATGGCACTGAATCGGTGTTATATAAACTCGTGCGTAGCAGACACACTCGCATGACGACCTAGTAATTAATTCTCATAAATATACACAGTCGTTCCAGATTCCTATGAAAGAAATCAAGGTATATAGGAATTTTGTATTACAAATAATTATAAATATATACCAGACAGAACAAACTGTGCTATCCCTGGATTCTGTAGTAGAATCTTGATAATAGTGGGCAGAAATAATAGTTTAATACAAACAATACTATCATACAGGTTAGAGAAATTAAATTCGTACTCTACCGAGTTTCGAACCTAGATCCGCGAGTAAATGGCACCTATCGCCTTGCCTGCACGCACCAACCCATATACCGTCACGACTAAGCACGCATCACCAAAAATGATGGCACTGAATCGGTGTTATATAAGCTCGTGCGTAGCAGACACACTCGCATGACGACCTAGTAATTAATTCTCATTAATATACACAGTCGTTCCAGATTCCTATGAAAGAAATCAAGGTATATAGGAATTTTGTATATAAATAATTATAAATATATACCAGACAGAACAGACTGTGCTATCCCTGGATTCTGTAGTAGAATCTTGATAATAGTGGGCAGAAATAATAGTTTAATACATACAATACTATCATACAGGTTAGAGAAATTAAATTCGTACTCTACCGAGTTTCGAACCTAGATCCGCGAGTAAATGGCACCCATCGCCTTGCCTGCACGCACCAACCCATATACCGTCACGACTAAGCACGCATCACCAAAAAATGATGGCACTGAATCGGTGTTATATAAACAAACAATTAAGTTTCGAAACTCGGTAGAGTACGAATTTAATTTCTCTAACCTGTATGATAGTATTGTTTGTATTAAACTATTATTTCTGCCCACTATTATCAAGATTCTACTACAGAATCCAGGGATAGTACAGTCTGTTCTGTCTGGTATATATTTATAATTATTTGTAATACAAAATTCCTATATACCTTGATTTCTTTCATAGGAATCTGGAACGACTGTGTATATTTATGAGAATTAATTACTAGGTCGTCATGCGAGTGTGTCTGCTACGCACGAGCTTATATAACACCGATTCAGTGCCATCATTTTTTGGTGATGCGTGCTTAGTCGTGACGGTATATGGGTTGGTGCGTGCAGGCAAGGCGATGGGTGCCATTTACTCGCGGATCTAGGTTCGAAACTCGGTAGAGTACGAATTTAATTTCTCTAACCTGTATGATAGTATTGTTTGTATTAAACTATTATTTCTGCCCACTATTATCAAGATTCTACTACAGAATCCAGGGATAGCACAGTCTGTTCTGTCTGGTATATATTTATAATTATTTATATATATATATAGATAGATAGATAGATAGATAGATAGATAGATAGATAGATAGATATATAGATAGATAGATACAAACAATACTCTCCTACATGTTAGTAATAGAAATTAAATTATACTCTACGGAATTTCGAATCCAGGTCAACGAGAATAAAATTCATATATACCTTGATTTCTTTCATAGGAATCTGGAACGACTGTGTATATATATGAGAATTATTTACTAGGTCGTCATGAGAGTGGGTCTCTTATGCCCGAGCTCATCTAACACCGACTCAGAGCCATCATTTTTTTTTGTGATTCGTGCTCAGTCGTGACGGTATATGGGCTGGTGCGTGCAGGCAAGGCGTTGGGTGCCACTTACTCGAGGACCTAGGTTCGAAACTCCGTTTTGTACGAATGTAGTTTCTCTATCCTGAATGATAATAATGTTTGTATTAAACTATTAAATGCTTCCCAATCTTATCAAGTTTTTACTACAGAATCCAGGGATGTCACAGTCTGTTCCGTCTGGTATATATTATGATTATATATATATATATATATATATATATATATATATATATATATATATATATATATATATATATATATATATATATATATATATATATATATATATATAGATGCAATAAACTGACGACGAACAGTACGAAACTAGTAACTAACTAGCCTAAGCGCTTTCGACTCTTAATGAGTCTTTTTCAAAGGCAAATACAAAACATAGTTACGGCAAACAAATAAACACAAAAACGTTGCGTTTGTAAACCTCTACATTTCTATCTTCACATGTGCTAAAACTATAAATACAAACAGCTTGTATAGACTAGTTGCGGAACAGTTTCCGCAACTAGTCTATACAAGCTGTTTGTATTTATAGTTTTAGCACATGTGAAGATAGAAATGTAGAGGTTTACAAACGCAACGTTTTTGTGTTTATTTGTTTGCCGTAACTATGTTTTGTATTTGCCTTTGAAAAAGACTCATTAAGAGTCGAAAGCGCTTAGGCTAGTTAGTTACTAGTTTCGTACTGCTCGTCGTCAGTTTATTGCATCTATTTTAATTAATCCCTGACAAACGTGATCCCTTGGTGGATCCAGTACGCTTGAGAGGGTTGTTATTCGCCATATGATTTGTATTCTTTATATATATATATATATATATATATATATATATATATATATATATATATATATATATATATATATATATATATATATATATATATATATATATATATTGTTTATTTTCAGAAGTTCCTGAGGATACTTACCATTACCTAAAAATCTGAAAGACCACCTGATACGTGTCACAATATCGTTAAACAAAGCCACATATTCAGGTACATGCCATTGCAAAGTCACCCGTTGCCTAATGTATAAAC